TTATTAAAGCGCGAAAAACGACGGACGAAATTTGATCTTAATTTTAATATTTTCTCAACATTTTTTAAATCAAATTTTGTGCTACATAATATTCGATTAATATTCAATTAATTGACGAAATGCATACTTTCTGTGAACACGGGATCGAATAAGGAAAGGTGTGAATGCGATCTGAGGTATAATAGAAGCTGAAGAATACCGAAGGTTTTAATATAATGTTTGCACGTATAGCTGGCTCGGCTTTCTCACAGCCCGAGAGAAAAGTGAGAGCGACGTTTTCGGAGGTTCTTTGGGGCGAGTCAACGGTTCCCGACGTCGTTTCATTATGCCGACATTACAAGCTTATTATAATTGCGTCGGACGCGCGCGATACGTATAATGTATAAAATACTGCGTTGAAGACGGCGGGGCCACTGGTAGACGTCTCGGGGGCCACAAAAGCTCCCTCGCTTTTCATACAATCGGGTCGGCCGTTGCTCGGCGAATAAATGGTCTGATTAAGCACGCCATTTTGCCCTGTAATGCAATCCTTAAGCATGCCGGGAGAGAAAGAGAGAGAGAGGGAGAACGAGACTTCGTTCGTCCCGCGCCACCATTGTGCCCTCGCGTACATACGCCTTCGGTCGATCATACCGGCCGGATTAGTCCCGCTCCTCTTTTATATGCTCGATTACATTCGATTCTCTCGCGTAACAGAAGGAACGCGCGCGGAGAGAAGCCGCGCTCTCTCTCTGGGAAATTAATCTTCCCTTACGCGCAACGAGCCTTTATCCCGCGACCGATTCTTAAATCGCCGACGTCTCCGGCAGATTTGCATAATTGTCGGCAGTTGCGATAATGCGTCGTGGTATTCGCGAGCAATGACGTATTTATTTTGAAAGCGACGAAAGTACAATTCTTTATTTTATTCAATTTTTATTTTACTTAATTTAATTGAAGTCTGTAAAACTAAAAATTCTGCCTGTACGTATGTTTTTTAATCTTTATGAATTATCTAGAATTTATTCTGTCAATCTTCTAGCTTCTCTATAAATGTTTTAACAATGACTACGAGCTGTTGGCAAACGTCTTCATTGTGTCACACAAGGTGCAGATTTGTCGAACGTGTGACTTGAAATCAATTGTGCTTTTTCGCGAAGTATCGGAATCTTGATTCATTCACACGTCTGCTCTCAATGTATCGTACAAAGAAAAAAAATTAGATTTCTCCGTTTGTTCGTGACGCGAGAAAATGCGACGTCAATAAAGGGGTCAATTTCAATCGGAATATTTCGATCAGACAGAAAACGCGTGGACAAAAGGAGTGCATTGCTCTGGGGCTATCAAACAATGGTGTGCACAATGCCGATACAATCGGCAATTGTTGCAGTAGCCGTTACTTTTTTCTATTTTTTTAGATCACTCCTTTGCTTTTCATCGTAACAATGGCGATCTAACGATTCTTACTAGTTAACGGAAAATGTCAACGGAGTTTCTACGACTTTTTCACGTAATCCTAGAAACTGACTTTTTTTTTAATAGAATCATGTTTTTTGCGTTTGTAAACGGATATTCTTCGATAACGGTTTTTCCTGTCAGAAGAAAGAAAACTGGATCTAACCGAAAGTTTCTTGAAAAACTCCGACATTTTGTAAAAATGTCTTAGAATCTTGGTACTATTGAGAGGTCAAGTAACACGGTGTGACTTACACGTGTCACAATTCTGTCTATAAAAGAGGGTTGAAGGCGAGGATTGAAAGAACACATAATAGTCTGCACGTTCCGCTATGGGGAAGATAAAAATGTTGTTACATTCTAAAATTTTTATTCTATACTCACAGAAATGGATAGAGATATTGGAGATGAAGTTTATTTCGTAATATATTAATAGCTATGCATTTATATTTAATATTGCATTCTATTATTAACAAAACGATAATCAATATTTAAGCAAAACGACGGAATGAAAACTTGCGATGTCAATTTAACTACGCAATTTCAAAATTTCTATCTTCTTATTAGCAACTTCTTTGCTAAGAAAATTCCATAACCGATATTCTTAGCCCTTCGAGAGATGCGAATAGCTTCATTTCTGGTATCTAAAAAAAGTTAACAGGAGGCGAGAAAATCTCGCGATCGGAGAAAAGACGCGAAGAGAAAGAGGAGGAGGAGGAGGAGAAAGAAGAAGAAGAAGCAGAAGGAGAAGATAGAGTCGAGGGGGCTCAGAAGGAAATAAGAAAGCGACAAGTCGTTGAAACGGGCGTGCTCGCAGCTCGGGCATTGGTGAACGTTATTCACGATGTGAGCACAGTCGCCATGCTGAATATCCCCTCTTCTGCTTCACGTGTCGAGGCACCTACACACGTGCTCGCCACGCCACTGTCGCGGCTACACGCGCCGTCTTCGGTAGGGCGAGAAATCGAGCTTCATCGGCTCCGCCATGGGGGCTGGTTGCCGTGCGCGGCGCGAGGCGGAGAGGGGAAATTGAAAAATACGAGGATTTAAGGGGTTGGATGCAATTTCAGAAAGCCAGCTCTCGCCGCGCAGCCTCCTCTAATAGAAGCGTTCCCGGCGATGTTGCGCATTGTGCGGACAGGATATTTATTAGGACACATGTAGTGTCTTCCCCCTTGCACTTGAATTATGATTGTAACGTACTCTCTGCGAGGGAAAGGAATATTCTTTGGCGCACACACGATAATGCCATTGTACTCTCTCGATTGCGGTCTGAAATTTCGGTCGAACGTGAGTAGCAATTTCGCGGAATTGAATCGATAAATTTCATCAATTACAGAAACCAGCGAGAGATATTAATCTACTGAAATGTACGTTCTGCTTCTCTTAACACAATATCATTTTAACAGAGAGCACACAATATTGCTGCTAAATTAATACGATTGAGAGTGTAATGAGCAAATCGTCGATCGCGAAACGCCTGCATTTGCGCGTGTTGTAAACGCCGTTCGATAACGCTCGAACATATGTAACATTAAAAGTTAATCAATTATTCCTGGTGAAATGGAAGCCCCCGCGATTGAACGTTTGCAATCTCACGCAATATGAAACGTTTCCGATTCCTCGTCCTTTGATATGTCGATTGATTCGTTCTAATCCCGATTAGACGTAGCGATTTAGCGCACGGAATTTATTGTCGCTCCCGCGTCATAATGGAATGTTTCTTCGTATAACATATCGAGCGAGTTAATGTCGATTTACTTGCAAATGTAATTGCAATACGCTTTAATGACAACAAATGTTTTATAAAGCTATGTTTCTAATTAACTATGTCTCTAATTAGCTATGTCTCTAATTAACTGTTACGTTTAAAAACTCCTGTCAGATCATTGACGAAGCCGTGCTTTCTCAAAAAATCACTTCTTTTTAGTGTGCACTATAGTGTACACTATAAAAAAAATTGTAATAATTGTGTAAATTTACACAACTAAGATGTAAAAATTATACGATAAATAACAGAAATTTACTAAATATATAATGTAAATTTACATAATTCACAAATTTTACTATTTATTTAGTATTTTTATATTTCCGTTATTTATCATGTAATTTGTACATCTTAATTGTGTAAACTTAAATAATTATTACAATTTTTTTACAATGTAGATAAAGTTACTTAAAAATTCTAGAATTATTTAAATGAAAAAGAATACTATTTCATAATCTATCAAACATTTAATAACGTAATTATCATCTGTAAATGCGATCTATTAATTATGCACAGAATAAAAGAAACTGGCTATCAAACGTTTTCTGTGTAAACGCCAATAAATGTAACTGTAACGATCACATTGTCATACGTTCTAATTTTCAATGCGGCTTCGAGATCAATACTGACTTGATTATAACCGATACTTAAATGTCATCCAGCGATAAATGTCAATTATGAAATATTCGCTCGGTTGACAGCAGATTTTCACGGTGCCGTGAACACAAATGTTTTCAACATGACGAGAGTGTCAATTCCTGCCGTCGGCTGACATCTTAATCGTACAATTAACGTCGATCAAATTTTACGGCGGTGTCCTTTTAGGTATTATCTAAGGTATATAATAGCGCAGATTATCCTATCGTGTTTCTTTATAGTATTAATTTTTTCTTAGAATTTAATTCGTTTTCTCGAGTTGAATTTGCCTTTTCGATCCTCTTCAACCCTTTCTCCTTCAGCTTTTCCGCACGAAAAGACTAAATTATTTCCGAATTCAATTGACAGGCTGAAAATCTAACAATAAGACAGGATTTTTAAATTCTTTCGCTGCTTATGCTTGCAGCGACACGCGGCTCAACACTAAGAAGTTCGTAAAATATTTCTTACAACCAATTCATAAACCGCAATTACAGCTCTACAAAGAGATATTTTGTTTCACGGTGATTTTCCCAGCATCCTTACGGAATCTTTTGACCTCTTCACAGCTTTTTCCTTTCATCCCCGTCACCGGAGGGATTTTATTACTTTCCACAACACAGAAAAGAGCGCCGAAGGAACATGCGAAGTTCGTGCAGTCCGCAAACGAACGAGAACGCTTCTCTTTCGTTTCTCCCGCGGGAGGGAGTGGACGGTGAGGGACGCGGAAGGCAGAGGAGAGGGTTCGCGCGGGGCGGATAACGCGAGCGGAGGGAAACGCGAGTGGGAGAGCGAGAGCGAGAGCCAGACGTATTAATTAAACGACTCATTTTCATCGCATGACAAAAACGTGGATTTAACGCCCATCGCCGACTAATGCGTCGCCCCACTGCAGCTTCTACTGTATACTCACAGGAGCTTCTGCTGCGTCCGGGGCCTGGTATCAGTATCGCATCGCGACTCAACAACCAATCCGCTCGCGTGGTGCACGCCTAGTCTACATGCGACCGCCCATCGTGCGGTCGATTCCGCTTCGGGAGGCGAAACCTCGTACAGCGCAAATGCTCTGGTGGGGTATCGGCCCCTCTATGCGCCCGATTCCAGGCCTGGTCGTATCCCACCACGGCAACTCTCGGCGGTGTGAGCGCCTCGTTTAGCTTGTAATTTAGTCAAAGACTAGCAAGCGCTTGTGGCAGAAACATCGCACAGAGTTGGTGCTCGCTCTCGTCAGCGAGAGCTGAATTTCACAGAAACGCGCGACGTGTGCTTCACTTTCGACGTTTGACGCTCAGAGATCGCGCGAGCTCTTTTCCTAGGTTTATTTTTTTCACCGTGCTCGAGGTCGCGATCGTGCTGCGGATCGATGGAGAGTGTGACGTACGAGTGAGTGTCCGTGAGACTCCAGCCAGTGCGACGGCGGCTTTCGTGTTTACGACGGAGTCACAAGTTACGTCTCTTGATGAAACAAAACGGGACTATGTGAAACACATTTCGCAATCAACGGCAATAATTGTTAGCATTAATGAGCTTTGAGAAAGCCGCAAGGGGACCGTTAGATTTAAGCTGCAATCCATATTTGTCATTCTCGGCGATGTACTAGTCGCTCTCGTGATGTGTGAACAAAAGGTGCCGGGACATGATTGTTTGTTGTGAGTGACTGCCGATACCACCGGTGCCGTGTTACAATAACGATTTTCGTGGATAATGATTGCGATTGTTAGAAGGTACTCTGAGATTTAAAGAGTATTTTCGAAGAGACCGAAAATAATCTGGAAATATAAAAAAAAATAGACATCATCGAAGTGGTGAATGTCTCCTGCGGTCTGACGGGAGTTAGTGCGTTCCAGTGATAATCCGTATACAGTGTTGATCGAGAATAGGCACGTCAGGGAGTCAACGATCAGCGGTGAACGCTCGATCGACTCTAAAGAAGACAGTTATCGAAGTCGCCGCGACGATGCGGCGGATCTAATCCGCGAGGCGCTCGCAAATTCCGTTGATCCCGTTAAAGTGGGTTGTCTATTCGGGAAGCGTACGATAATCGTACGATGATGCCGCTCGCGCCGACGCCAATCGTCCCGGTGCCATCTAAGCCGAAGATCGGCTTTAGCATAGACTCGATAGTTGGCGGCGGTGGACAGGGCGGTCGCGAGGATCGTCTGGACCGGCTCGAGCGGGTCGAGATCGAGCGCGACGATGGCAGCCCGATGGAGATAGTCGAGGGCTCTTCGTCGCCACGGGCGCGCCGGGCTGCCGCGAGATCGCCCGGCGCTCACTCCGAAGGTTCCGATCGGCCTGTCTCCAGGAGCTCGTCCGTCGAATCATACCCGAATTCGCGAAGAACGCCATCGCACGCCGCCGGCGGCGGCGGCGGCCATCATCATCATCACAGCGCTAATCATCACAGCCATCCGCACTCTCATCATCATCACAACCTGTCCGCAACGACGCATCTGGATTTCGGTCGGACGACTGTGCACAGTCACAGCGGTGGGTCTACCCCGAACAATAGTCCCAGTCCGCCGCATAGGATACCGCATGGAGACTCACCGGTTGGCGCGCATCCTCAACCACCTCCGGGAGTCGTGAGGCCCAGTCCGAACTACCTCGCGCCACCGCCAGCGCCGCGACGGCTGCGGCCGTAGCCGCGGAACAGCTCAAGTCTCTTTATGGATTGCCAGGCCACAGTCCGGCGGGTCCGCAAACTGGTCAGAACGAGTATCACACGCAGCAGCAATTGGCCCTGGCCGCGAATCTGGCCGCGGCCCAGCACTTCCAGGCGGCGAATCTTGCGGTAGCGCTCCAGGCGCATCACGGCGCGTCACCTCATGGACCGCCGCATGGGCCTTATTCGCACGGCGGAGCGCCGGGCGGGCCTCATCCGCCGCCCCATCCTCATCAGCCGCCCAGGGACAGCTACCCTTTGTATCCTTGGCTGCTCTCGAGGCACGGCAGGATCTTCCCGCATAGATTTCCGGGAGGTATGTGCTCTTCGAATGTTTGTTTAGTGGCTTGAACAGTGTTTGTATCTGTAGTCTCAAGATACTCGCCGGAAAATCAAGATAGTAATTTCAACGTTAAATGTTCGAGGGATCAGAAGAGGTCAGTTGGAATTGCCCTTCGTCTCGAATTTGACGCAACACTTGACGCATTCGGTGTCCCATGGGAAGTTGCTGAAACTAATTAGCTGTCATTATTCGACGCACATAGGAAGTAAGAAAAATGAAATATCTTTTAACAGAGGACATTTTGTAGTTTTATTTACGTATAAACTAAAGACAATATTTTTATTTTTCATTAAATAAACGTTTATTAAAAAATGTCAAATATCGCTAATTTTGATGGTATATATTTTTGACGTGCGCACCGTCAGAATTATAATAAAAATTAAGTCGATTTTGAAAATTACAACTGTAACTTTTGTTGCATAAATTTTTTATAGTTTCCAAAAGTGACTTAATTTTTTTGTTATAATTCTAACGGTGCGCATTTCGAAAAAATATATACCATTAAAATTAGCGATATTTGGTATTTTTTAATAAACGTTTATTTAATAATAAAAATATCTCCGATTGTTTT